AACCTATACCTGATACAATTAAAGCAGTGATAATTGACTCTTATGAATTGCACTTAACTCTATTTACCTGCCTTTAAATGTAGCTAGACTGGTGATCAGCACATGAGCACTCAGCATTTTGGCTTGCCATTTATTATGAGATTTATGATTTCATGCTTTACCTTTGCTTTGGGCTGGTAATTCCAGTTTAAAATTTGGGAGTTAAGTTCTTAGTTTGACCGATGTGGAAGAGTCCGAGAGCTGATGCTCAGGAAATCTGTATGAGGAGTCACAGCAGTTAGCCTCTCCATGGCTGTCAGTGCCAGGGGATTTACACAGCCATGGCAGTAACAGGTAGTATCATGGGATTTGTCTTTCTCTGGCTTCTTCTATCCCCACCTTAACTGTGACCATGTTGGGAGGCCAGGAGTTCATGAGAGTGGGGTGGGAGAAGTTCCTTTTTATCTGAACCAACTCACACCTGAATTAAGTCTGGTTTTGTTCAAAGGATGCCAATGCATCCAGCTGATTCATGCATCCATATGTGGGAGAACAGGGGCCTTCCTTCCTTCCTAAACATGCTTCTTTGTGCAGGGAGTCACCCTAAAGATATCTCTGCTTATCATATGCATTACTAACAAATGTGTTCCCACCATGGTGCATCTACCCAGGACTGTTATAACCAGATGGAAACTTCTGCAGTGGGACAATCTTTGTCCTGCACCCAAGGACAAAAGGAAAACGCATTTACATGCCCTTTCAGGACCACATGGTAATAGCTGGAACAAGCTTCCTAGAGAAACAAAATTGCAGCACACTGCATGTATAGCACATACCGTCCCTTGTGTTTGGCACTGCCCAAATTAATCATCAAAGCAGTCTGGCAACTCTTACATTGGAGTTAATCCTGCTTTGTGTTTGCTAATCATTCCTGAAGAGGGGCTGATAGTTGAAATGTTTCTAAGTTTATTTCCTGTTTTTAAGTTACAGAGAACTTTCTTGATCCATTTAATTTGGCAACTGGTACATCTCTTCTTTGCAGCATTATTAAAGCAGTCCAGAAAAGGGAATTAGGTTTCCCAAGACCCTGCTCCATTGTATCATGGTGTTAGGGGTTGAATCACATCAGAAAGCAGCTGTCTTTCAGTTAGTCCCATAGTTTGGCTTTTTCCTAGCAGTGAACAGGGCAGTTTTCCCATTTATTTTGTGGATTTTTTTAAGCCAAGTGCCGTTTGAATTTAAAGGCCCTTGTCAAGGAATTTTTAATGTAATTTTTCCCCGTTGTCATTTATAAGTTGATATCTGCAAACTGAAATCTTTTTCCTTGCCTTAATATTTATTTCTTCTTGTATGTACATCTACCTGCCATTTGTTATAGAGTGAAGTCCTGCCCTCACCGAAGTCAATGGCAAAACTCCTGTTGACTTAAACAGGACCAAGGTTTTTCCCATAGTGTTGCACTTGAGCAGTGAGCCTTCACACACAGGTTCCGTTCTGTAGGGTCAGTAATAACCAAGGTCTGCATGGTCTTGATAAACGTGTACATACTCTAAACCACAGGGCATTACTTACACCGAGCCAAATCTACGTGCTCGTCTTGTGGCAGAAATCTGCTCAACGATATTAATTATCCCTATATTCTGCACAGCCTGGTAGTCCTTCCTGCGTCCAATATACTCAGGATTCTCCTAGAACAGGTGTGGAGAAGGCTTCTATTTGCAGTGTTATGGGTTTACAGTGGGACTCAATCCAAGCAGTCTTCCTTCTTTTCATCTCAAAGCGAAAGCAAAAACATTGTTGATAGATCAGCGCAGAAGCTGCATCCACCTTCAGCTGACGTTTGTTATGATTTTATCCATAGATGAGCTAGCCCCAGAATTTCTGGTGTTGCAAAGACTAGATTCAATGCCCCATGTGAGGCTAGATGTGGGAAAGATTTTAGCAGGGATTTTCATTGACACAGTGAAGGCTCCCAGGAAAGCGTAAAGAAAACAGAGGCGCATCCTGTCCTTGTTATATTGGTAATTAGAGATGTTAGTACACTTACTGCTATGTAGGCATAAGAAGCCAGAGGCTCAGACCTTTACCTCTTTGCAGTTAACAACTTAGCCACATGTGGCCTGGTCCTGAGAGGTGCTAAGGACCCACAGTTTCCACTCAGCTCTTCAAAATATCTGGCCATTAATTGGGCAGTGCCAGTGGACAGCAAATATTTAAAATCTAAGAGGCCAGGAGAAGTGAGAAATAACTTTTTTGTGGTAGTCGGGCAAGCCCTTTTGTAAATTCCCTAATTTGCTCATTCTGAGGTTGGATCTGATCCACATATCTCACCATTTTATCAAGATTAGAAATGATCCCAAGTGAAAACACTGCAGAAGGAAATGAAGGAACAGATCAAGACAAAGACAGCTCTGTGCCATTTGGAGCTGCAGGAATCACCTCCAAGAATCCCGTTAAAAATAGGGCTGTGGAGCCCTGAGGCCCAAGTGAAATCATAAGTGTTGCAGAAGGTCTAAGAGGGTTAAGTTTCACAAGACTCTCTCGCGTGCATCATTCATATGCCTCTCACATACTGGGCAACTGAGTGACTGATGAAGAAGCTTCCATGATAAATGGTCATGACTTAACAGTGACCTAGTGATAAATATTACTGTAGCCAGTGTGTTATTATAATATGTTAAATAGGCCTTATTATTAATTAAAATGTAATTGCTTTATAATTGCAAGCCTTGTTCCTAAACTATAGTGAGAGGTCAGGGATAGTATCAGATTATCATCACACCTTAAGTGAAAAAACAATCTTGGAGAAGAGAGAAATCATCTGGTTAAATTACAGTCCTGGGGCCAGACTTTGCTCTCAGTGACAAGAGACAAACAGGAGTAGCGCCACTTACTCCTGCTAGTTATAGACTGGCATAACTTAGAGCAATATCTGGCTCAGTGAATGCACAGTACATGGGTGAAAGGAACAGTTAGGAGCTCTCAATACAGAGACAAAGACTTTTTAACAATCCATTGAAATGGGAATAAAAAACTCCAGACCCTCTCCCCCCATAATTGAGCTGTTACCCTGTAGCTATAGTCACAATGAGTGCCATTCATGGGGTTGTTTTCCTGAAGACTTTACTTATATTTTACAGAAGAAAAAAAAATCTATACATGATCAGTTTAATAAAATCCTTTTATCCTGGCTACAAAATGGAGGACTGGCAAATGCCCTTCTGATAGGTTAGAGAAGGAAAACAGCTAGAATCCAGAAGAAAGAAAGGCACTTCTGGTCCAGGCTTGCAAACCCTGTGTTCAATAAAAAACAGAAGCATGGTAAGCAAATTATCCCTGTCCTAAAGCAGTGAGAATTTTATTGTGCAATAGCACTTTGGAAAATTCATTAAACATAGTTCACTGCCAGTGCAATTCTTACATTAAATGGTACATAGGCTCTGAGACAAATGCATAGTAATGCAATTTTGTTGTTAAATTACGTGAAGCAAAATTATACCCCTCAGTTCCTGCTAAAATGTTCGGCAGGAAAATTGAAGAACATCTCCATAATTAATGATTAGCACCATCATAGAAAGGTGCATTCATTAAGGGCAAAATCCACCCTTTGTGTAACTCTGCAAGTCACTAGAGTTGCACCAGGGATAATTTTGTCCCTAAATGTCTGACTGTCTCTGGGCTCAGAGAGAGTTCCATGCACCTTTCACAAAAGGCTCTCTCTACAGTGATGTACTTGATACTCAAGCTCTGCATTCAAATTCTTAATTACACTGGCCTTCAGCAGAGACTTTCACTTCATGACAAACATTCTCGCCTTCCAAGAGCTGCCTCATGAAGACATGGATTGTGAGTGTTTATATAGAATTTGACTGGTAGTTTGTTGCCCAAAAGATCAACTATTTCAATGGGGAAAAGACCTAATGTAATAGAAAGTACAGGAATTACCGTGTGCAATTACTTCCATTTCCTGCTGTTCCTCAGGAGAGGTCAAACCAAACTTAGCTCAGCCTATGACAGTAACTTTATGATCCATACACCCATGCCTTACAGGCTAGCCAGGATGAAGTCTGAGGTAAAGAAAAACCGTGAGCAAAGGAAGCAGGTGGAGAAAATCAAGTCTCAGGTGGCAGAAATGCGAAAGGAGGCCCTGGCAGTGCAGTTCAAAGAATGGACATTGGATGTCAGTGGAAGGCTACCACTCACACTGGTAACTAGGGCAGATATTCACAGAAACACTGCTATGTCTATACCCGGGAGGAGGAGAATGGAGGCTATTGTGGAAGTGAGTTTGCTATGTTATATAGCAGGAAGGGAGAGGAAGGATGGTCCAGTGGTTAAGCACTAGCCTAGGACCCACGAGATCTGCCTTCAAGTCCTTGCTCTGCCTCAGACTTTCTGTGTGACCTTTGGGAAGTGACTTAGCCTCTCTTTGCCACAGCTGCCGAATGGGATAATAGCCCTGGCCTGCTGCACAGGGGGGTTGTGAGGATAAATCCATTATTGTGTAGTGCACAGGTGCTACCGTGATGGGAGCCAGATAAGTGCTGCAGATAGTTTTATATCTCTCAGCCTTGGGTTTCCTGGCGGCAGCTGGTCACAACTCAAAATCTACCTCAGAAGACACTGGGTGGCTTACTCCCATCCTATCCTTTCAGGGCCACCATTAATTCCATTGTCCCCCTTGCCCCAAACCATTGACTCACTGTTTGAGAAGACGAGACTTAAAGTCATCATGATGGATCAACCAGTCTTGGGTGCTGGTACAGACACCTTCCATAGATGGCGAATAAGTCAACTGCTGTGAAATTCCCCTGACCCCCACTAGCTTTATGGGCTATACAAAGCACATAACATAGACGTGGCCTGAATTTCTGTAAGTGGTGAGAGGCCTGGGAGGCGGCGGGGGGGGGGGGGGGGGAGCCTAAAGTAATGTTCGTTAGGATCGTCTAATTTAATGGGAAAATTCCAGAACTGCTGCAATGTGCCTTCTGTGGTCTAGCATAACATTCCCATTTACTTACTACAAACACTTTAAGGGTGACCTCTTCAGATCACAGGGCTCTGGGTATGGTCTGTGATGCAGTCATCCATTCTCAGCACTGGGGTATCCTTATGTTGCTGTAAAGATTTGAGGAGCCCTGGGCAAAAACAAAGCAGGAAGAAAATAAATGGCAAGACATTTCTGAGAAACCAATTGCTATAGAGCTGCTTTATCTAAATCTGTTCATAATAATCAAATGGTGATAACCCGGGCCAGAGTGTCAATGCAGGGAAAGCAGGTGCCCTTTTTCGGTTCAGGCGTGGGGAGAGAGAGTAACACTACAGCTACTTTGAGTTTGAAAAGGAGTGGAGATGAGCAAAGAGTGTTTCTATGACTCAGGCTTTTAATTGTTGTTTTGATTTATAGGTTCAGAGTGCCCTGAGGTCATTTCTGGATGTCATTTCTACTCCTTTGGGAGCAGGGCCAGGTAAGGTCACAAATGTTTTCTTTGGTTTTATTTTCCTTGGTCTGACTTCTGGTGCAGAATGGGAGCAAAAGGAAAGTAGGCATGGAATCTATAAGGACAGTCACGGTATACCAGCCACGATTCTTGCTTGCAAGACTTCAAGTGGGGAGGGGCAGAGGGTGAACCATTATGTTGTCTTGGTGTTTTTTTGGTTTTTTTTTTAATAAAATTATGTAAAAATAACTTCACAGCTTGTGGGCCCCCCACCCACATGACAGCACAAAAGCTGAGTAAATGTACTTGGCATAGAAGATCTAAAAAGGGCTGGGGAACAAGGAGTCCTCTCCCCATCTGGTGGGGTCTCCTGATGCAGATGTGCAGCCTTGCTACAGCTATTCCTATAGTCCATGGGCTATTGTAGCAGCTGCAGCCCTGTGTGCCCACAGGGATCTAGTCTGTTCCTTGTCATGTTCCTGACTTCCCAAGTCCATCCCCATCACAGGCCCCTCTTCCTCATTGCTGCAGAGCTCTGCAGGGTGAAAAGGCATGCAGAGTTCCTCTCCAGGGCCTCTCTGTGTCCTGCAGCTCCCCCCAGATAAATTGGACCTGCACCAGTTCTGTTCCGTGCCCATGGAAACGGGGGAGGGGTGCAGCATTTGGCCCAGTCATTTTAGACTAAGTTGATCTGGGCCTCTCTAGTTGCCAGTAACAGACTCACAGGGCCCCTTCCTAAGTAATAAAACTCTGACAGCGGCAAGTAGCCTGTCCCTCTTTTCTTTCCCCCACATTAGCCAAACCTGCTCCTCATGTGTGCATGAAAATCAGCTGAAGATCCCCCACCCCTCTCTCATTTCATACTAGGGCCATACTTGGCATGTTTGGGGGTGGGTAAAAAATGAAAGCGTAGCATAGCTGTTACCTTCTAGGGCAAATCCTGAAATGTGCCCGAGAACTCTGCGACAAGGCTCATCTTCTCTAGGCATTTTCTCTAGCCAGCGAAAGGAATGACAGTGACAATACATACAGGGCCCACATACCAGAGCATTCAGCACTGAACTGATTTGCATAATTCTCATCCTCTTTATGGCTTACGCTTGACATAATTAAATAATGATAATTGAATAGATAGGGCTAGAAATGTTGAAGTGGCAGTGTAAAGACTGTTGTCAGACCTTTAAAATAAATAGAGGTATTATGATAATCAGTAACAACAAATCTGTCTTTGCTGGAAGATGTGAGGCTATGTAGGACACTCAAAAGCACACTGGAATCCTCCTCTGGAAATAACCTTTCTCCACAGCTTGCCTTTGCCCAGTGATAGTAATCACTGCCCTGAGTATTCATCTTAGACTGGTAGCACACAGTCTGAATGGCAAACCCAATCCTCAGGTGCTACTGTGGGGCTGTTGGGGATACTGGTACTCTAAGAAAGAAGGAAGTTCCTAGCCAGATGGCTACTCTGCAGGCATTCTAGGCATTATTGGCAGTATTTTACTCACAGCCCAGCTCTGTTTCTCTGTGTATTTCATTTAACAGAGTCCAATACACTAAGTGAGCACTAAGCCGTGTTTTATAGTTTCATAAAGATAATGTATAACTTTTGGATGTCTTAAGGAAGCAAGAAATATGTAGGTTCCACTGAGAGTGTTCTCATTATTCCTGATGTTTCACTCATCATATTGTAGAAGTAAGAATAACAGAATAATAATCCCAACAGAGAGAATATTTCTTCTTTCAAGACTTCCCATGCAAATCCTGGGCATTTCTTCTCAGCTCCACTACTGTGGCCCAGAAACTGGCCAAAAGGTGGCTGCAAAGGTTGTAAAGTAAACAGGAATATCTATCTCCATATGGCCGCTAGAGTAAAAGTCTTGTTTTCAGAATACGGAAGCTCCAGTCCTTGCTGGTAATTCCAAAGTCAAGCCACAGCTGAAAGGAACCTGACTACTGGGTCCCAGCATGTAAGGGAACTATACCCATTCATTACATCACAAGCAGGCATAAGCAGATATAACTCCCATTGAAGTCGTCGTGATTTACACCTATTTATGTCTTGTTTGAATCTGACCATAAAAGCTTGTCTGCACCAGCCTGTAGTGCTTGCCTTTCAGAAGGGGAACTGCAGTTTCTCAGCACTGGAAAGGGATATAAGAATCAGACCCAGCCAGTATTTATATAGCCACGAAGTACACTACTTATCACGAAGCAGAGCTGAACATGCAAAGTATATACAGGTGCTTCAACTCCCTGCCATTCGCAGCCACAGGCCAGAGTAGCCCTAGGTAGAAATACAATTCTGCAAAAATACATCTGCCTATTTTCTGTCTAATCTTCTCTCCTTCTCCATTAGAGATCTACGACAGGAAGCTGGAAACCGTAGATACACTGGGGAAAAAAGTGAATGAGGAAGAGTTTAGGGAGGTGAGAAGCTAAATAACTGCACCTGAGTCAGAATTCTATTCCTGTTATTGATGCCTTTTAGGAGTGTTTCCTCCCCTGGTGGGTGCTGACAACAGAAGATGAGAGGCCTCCCCCTCTCCCCAGCCTCAAGCTGTGACTCTGGCACTGTTAGGTAACTCCATGTTCCCAGGTCACCATTATTATCTGCTCACATCCACATACCCATCCTTATTTTGTAGATTTCCCCATCACTCCAGCAGGGTGGAACATTTAGCTTCCTCCAGAGTCGCTGCCTGTGTGGCTCTATGTGTAAGTGGGGGAATAGTCCCGCTCTTGTGGGGAACTTTCCTGGCTTCTGCACTACCCCGGTGAAGTGGGCTAGTGAAAGGATCCGAGTCCTCACTCCCACTTCCTTCACCCAGTGGCCTCCCTGCCCTTGAGGACTCCCCTTCCACTCTCCTGTCTGGCAGAGTCCTCCTAACCCCAACAAGGCTGGGCCCAGGATTCCTGGGGGGCTCGACCCCTAACCCTGCTGTGGTCACCTAGGACAGGGGCTAGGGTGTCCCCACTCCGGGGTACTCTGTCTGCACTGGGCACTGCTCTGGCCCACTGACCATTACATACAAGTTAAAGCAAATGCAAGTTATTTAACCAACAATTAAATTTAAAAAGAATAAGGAAAAAATGGGAAAGGTGAAAGGAAACACATCACCCCGCTCTGTGGCAGGGAACATCACAAACAGTGTCTCTGGAACGTCAGGGCAGTTCACAGTCTGCTCCTTGTAAGTCCCAGGCCTCCTGCTCAGGCCCTGGCTGTGCTGCAGGGATGCTGGGGGTTGGACACATGCTCTGGTGGTGGCCACACGCTCTCAGGCTCTAAGTGGTAGGACCCTTCTGCCCAGTGTCGCCCCCGCCCTGTCGGGGTTATGATCCAAGCCTGGCCTGCAGAGCCTCTTGGCTGAGGTGTCTCCCTGTGCTGGGCCTGCTGCCCAGGGTCCCCCCTTGGTCTCCCCAGCTGCTCACCGCACCCAGCTCCGGACTGCTCCAGCCCCAGCTCCACCACTCAGTCTCTGCCGGGCTGCTGCTGCTGCTCTGCCTCCAGCTCCCTGGGCTGCTTCTCTGGGCCCTCTGGCTCTGGTTGCTGCAGCTCTGCTCCCAGGACAGGTCTGCTCTGCAGGCTGCTTCTCTGACTCTGCTCCCAGCACTGATCTGCTTCCTGGACTGTTTTCCTGGCCCCTCTGGCTCTGGTTGCTGCAGCTCTGCTCCCAGGGCAAGTCTGCTCTCTCTGGGCTGTGCCTCTGGCTTTGGGGCTGCAGCTCTGCTCCCAGGACAGGCTCTGCTCTCTCTGGGCTGCTTTTCTGGTCCCTCTGGATCTGGCCCAGCTCTGCTCCCCAGCTTAGTTTGAGCCCCAGCTTTCTCCTTAGCTCGGCCCCACTCTGTCTGTCTGACCCAGGCAAATCCAGCTCACACGGAGGACGGGACCTCCCTGGCCTCCTGATTCCCTGATTAGCCTGCCCACCCTGTCATTCAGGCTGACCTGGAGCATTGGCCTCTCCCCGTTGTTCCTGGGGGCTGTCAGTCTCAGGGTCCTGATTCCCCATCGACCCTTCCCCCTTTTTAGTCCTGGGAACTAGCCAACCAAAACACCCCACTGAATGTTAGTAAGGGGGCAACAGTCCCCTTACATATGGATTAATTATGAGGGATTATTTTAAAAGCCATGTTGTTAAAACATCTCCCTGGCGTCCTCCTTAGCGTGCGCGAGGACACCACCTCTGCCATGCTGCAAGGAGCTATGTTTCAAATTACTCGTGAATTCAGATTTTTCATCAACAGCACACAAGAGACGGTCTCCCAATGTAACTAGCATTCTAATGTAATTAGTATGGTTCCCATAGTGCTATTATTCCTTTGGGAATTCTGTTAACCAAAGTACAGTTCAACAGAAGGCTAATCAGGGATGAACAGCATTATTATTTTTGCCCATAGAGTGAGTATATTTTGCCACCATATGGCTTTGGTTTAAAAGCCACACCAGGGAGCATACAGAACATAAGGTAAGTGTTCGGTATCTTTTGCAGGGAACTTAAGCAATATTAACTCCTGTCGCAGAGGAGCTTCCAGCATGTTGTCCATCAGACACAAGGATTCAGTGGTGATGATTGTGGTGCTAGGCTGCTCCCATGCATCTGTGGGGAACTAGGATAGTAGTTCATTTATCACAGCAAACAAAGAATCTCAGAACGTCAAATGTATCAGCCCTGCCTCCTCATCCTCTTACCCCCAACCCCTCTGTGCCTTGGGTTTTTTCTAACCCAGCATGCTGTGGTTTGATTCAAGGAAGCGTCCCCGACTGTTTCCTATTTCGTGAAGGTGGTGGAGCGTGTGTGGGTGGTATGAGTGAGCATGTGGGCCTGAACATGTGTGTGCATGTGTATGTGAGCAAGCATGTGTGTACTGTCAGCACGTGGCTGCATGCATGATGATGAGTGTGTCTTTGAACTATTACAGTGACAAAGCTGTAACCAATGAAAGAAACAACCATATAAATATAAAATATAAGTATAAATACAGCTATCCCTCTCACTCCATCTTCCAGCATGTTCAGTCTTTGTGACCACCACCTGCTCTGGTAACAGTCATATAAATGACCAGTTTTCCAGTTCCAGTAAGTCTTTGTAAACTTGTTCTATTTCTATAACTCCCAAAGGAAGGTGGAAGACAAAAGATGTAAGTAATCTTAAGAAAATGCTACTAAGACTGTAAAAATCAGGATATAAATGTATGGTTATGATTTGAGTTCTTATTTACCCCATACCCTCGTGTATCAGAATTAAATGCGTCTTCGGTGAGCCAAAAGTCACTCAGGACATTGGTTGGTCGTATGCCTGGGTCACTGCCCCATGGCATAAATTTAAAGCAAGGTATGTGTAGGGGATTACTGTACACTCTAATGTATCCACATTAACTCTGCTACTAATGGTGCTGTTAATCTGCCTGAGCTGTTCCCATAAATCATTGTGAGCAGAATATATAGCAAGTGCTGTCATCTAGCGGTTAGAGAATAGAAGACAAAACTGGTTTGTGTTGTGGCCTTGGTCAACTCATTTAAGATCATACTTTCTAAAATGTCAATAAGGAAGTAGTACTTATCCTCACTTTACCAATACGTAATATGAGACACAGGTCTAAGGTACATTTTCAAAACTGTCCCACAATTTTGGGTTTCAAATTTAAGAATTTGAAACCCAAAATTGTGGGACAGTTTTGAAAATGTACCTTAGACCTGTGTCTCATATTACGTATTGGTAAAGTGAGGATAAGTACTACTTCCTTATGTTCTTGTGAGGCTTAAGAAATTGTTTGTAAAGGGCTTTATTTAGATGAGAGGGGCTACATAAACCCCGGGCATGATTATTATAAATTCTGAACAAGTGCTCCAATAGAATCGCAAAATATCAGCCCAGATGGTCGATTCTCCTTTTAGGCCTGCTTTGGGACAGCGCTCTATGGGCAGAATAAGCTGGTGACCTTCCATTATATGCACTCTCTCTTAGCCTAGCCTGTCGTTTAAGAAGCTGTCCCCATCCCACTGTGCTCAGACTTCTAGGATCTACCAAAATAGAAAAGAATTCACTCTAGGGAACAAGTTACAAGTAAATAAAGGAAAAATAACACCAAAAAGTATAGTTAAGAAACATCACATATGTGACTTTAACTCACCAAAGTCAAGGAATGTAGTTAAGGATTTCATTCTATCACGTTTCCCTTCGTTAACTTAAAAACAACCAAATCAGTTCAACCTAAATTTACTGGAAAAACTCTCTGGGCTGAGACTTTACCAGTCAAGTTTCCACCTACAGTAGAGCTAGATTTTATGGTTGGGCTATAAACTGTGAAAAGGAACATTTAGACTAGAAATGATGACAGCCCTTAACTTAGCAGAGCTAGTGGGTGCAGTTACGATAATTAAGAACAGAGCATAAAGCAGCTGTGCAGAGACTAATCCCAAGCGACTGTGTGTGATTTCTTTGCCTTCTGCACTCCCAGGAGAGTCACATGTTCAGTACTTTGCATAGAGATGCATTTTTGTGATAATTTGTTGAAGATTTCTTTTTTCAGCATGAAATTATATATTTTAAAATTTAACCTCAATGTGACTGCATTTAATTAAGGAAACGATTGCAGATAATGGAATCTCAAAGAATCCCTTTTGTCACTAAAAAAATATATGTAAATCCATAATCTCTGCAATATATGAATGAGTTCTGAATAAATTCCTATTACGTTCAGTCTAGAAGAGTGCTTTAGATAGCACTGTGTGTACTATTTGTTTTAACTCACAATTGAGGCATACAGTAATAGAAATCAGAAATGTAAAGGACCTACAAAGTCAGCTCAGCTAGTCTTATTTCCAGTCACTGGAAGATTGTTTCTCCAGGATATTTTTCATTGCTTTTTCTAGTCTAGTTTTAAATGATTTAAGTGATGTGGCTTTCACCAATTCCCTCGGGAGACTATCCCACAGTCTGAATAGACATCACTGTCAGGACATTTCCTCCTCCCCACTCCCCATATTCATCTTAAATTTACCTTTATTATCAGTTTGCATCATCCTTCTGGAAGACTGAAGAGAAAGATCTGGCCCCAGACTGATGTGGACCTTTTCACATTTGGAAAGTATTGATTGTTAATGGAGCTGAACATTAAATGGCTCTTTTTATGTTTTCTTTCTTGAACTCAGGGCAGCTCTGGGTTACTTAATGGCTGTTACAGAGTCAGGAGTGGGACCTCACACATTGATGTTTATGAGTCTGCCAAAAGGGTCGCTCTTGTTCATCGTATTTGATTTTAAAAGTATTTAGAGCCCTCTGCCGCCCCACCCCCCCAATGTATAAGACAGGTTAAATCGTGGGCCTACATTATGAAATGGAGAGACTTCAACACTTTTAGGGCCTGATCCAAAGCTTTCTGAAGTCAAGGGAAAGACTCCCATTGACTTCAGTGGGCTTTGAATGAGGTCCTTAGGGCTAGATTCTGCTCTCAGATCTACACGTGGCTTCATCAGATTCCACGAAGGTTAATAGCAGCCATAGACACACATCAATGGGCCGAATCTGACCCATTGTCTTTAGTAGTATTTATTAGCAACCTAAAATAGAGTGACTTGTTCAATAGAGAGAGACAGATGATGGAAGTGGAAACTTTATTAATGATAAATAAACAACAGTTGTGTTTATCCGCTTGTATAGCACTTTACACGGTCAGAGTGCTTTACAAACACTAGGCCAGGTCTGCGCTGCCACTTACTTTGGTGTAACTTATGTCGCTCAGGGGGGTGAATAAGCCTCCCCCGAGCAATGTAAATCACCCTGACCTAAGCACCGGGGTGGATAGCTACTGCTTCTCACGGAGGTGGATTTATTATGACGACGGAACAACTCTCTCCCACCGGCACAGAACATCTTCACCAGATACGCTTCAAGGGCTCAGCTGTGCCAGTGTAGCGCTTCTAGTGTAGACTGGCCCTAACTCATTAACGTTTACTAGTCTGAGGCCTGGTCTACACTACCGCGTAAGCTGACCCACGTTACGCTACTCCAGCTACGTGAATAACATAGCTGTAGTCGACGTAGCTTAGGTTGACTTACTGCGGTGTCAACAACACGCTGCGTCGACGGAAGACGCTCTCCCACCAACTCACCTTACTCCTCTCATTCCGGTGGACTATCAGAGTCGACCAGAGAGCGCTCGGCCGTCGATTTAGCAGGTCTTCACTAGACCCACTGCATCGACCCCCGCTGCATCGATTGCAGCCGCGCTGATCCCCGGTAAGTGCAGACATAGCCTAAGGTGACACAGACTAGACAAGCACTGTCCCAATGAACCACTAACTTAAAAAGGCAGAGAAATTAATTATTAAAATGGGCTTTGACTCTTGGTGATATTTAGCGGGCACCCAAAGGAGAGGATACCTAATCACTACCCATGAATAGCTCTGAGAGTGAGAAAGGGAATTTAGCAACCATGAGTGCCGCCTGGCAAGGTGTGTTATGAGAGGAATGACTCACAGGTCAGGAATGAAATGTGTCCTTTCACTTCATGATAGGGGAGAGAAAGAGATAGGGGCTCCATAGCGGAAAGAATCCGAGAGGCTTTCATGTTCCTTTCTTCCAGCACTCTTAGATATGTAATCTCACCTTCCCCTTGTTCACGTGTCTCCCGTTTGCACTAAGGAGTTGCACTTGTCTTGGGGTGAACTCATGGTACTTTTCTGTTGGCTCTCTCTTCTTTTCTCTGCGGCTTGTTTTAGTGACTATTCTACCTTTCATGCCTTCACCATCATTCCTAAACAAGAAGGAAACTGTTTTAAAATATATTTAAACATTTGAGGCAAATATTTTTTTCAAAATAAATTCTATTTATGTCCATAATAACACAACTTTTGTCTTCTATATCACCTTTATCTCAACATTTATAAACATTAATTAAGCCACAATATTTCAGTTTGAAATAAGCATTTTTCCCCTCATTCTAAGATGCGGAAATTGAGGCACAGAGATTTTCAGGGCCAAATTTTCAAAAGTGAGTTCTAATTATAGGTGTCTTAATTTTTAGGTACCCAGCTTTAGAGAAGTCAGTGGGAGCTAAGGATGCTTAGCACCAGATAGGACTCAGCCCTTCATGGGTAGCTCAACATGACCTGAGTTCCTTTTCCCAAAATGCATAATTTACCACCATGCTCTGTGAATTGAATTCTACTGCCTGCTCCCAAATTCCCCCTTAGAGATTTGGTTCTGATCTCACATCGGTGTAAATCAGGAGCATCTCCACTGAAGTCAGTGGAATTGTACTGGACTGGTGTGGTGTAGCTGAGATCAGAATGATCTGTACCTTTTCCTTTCCGCTTGTCTCACCTGCTTCACTGACACCCTGTGACCTGTGACATGAACCAACAGGTGCAGACCTATCTGAGAAGGGCTATTAAAATGATAAAGCATAGGACCTTCTTTGACATTTACATAACACAGCCTCTCTTTCTAATAATGGACCAAATCCTCCCTCCAGGGGACTGTTTGACTAGTAGGGGGATTCCATGAGCCCATGGGCCTGAGGGTTGCAATAGCCCCATTGCTGATGCACCCCTGCTCCACAAGGGACAGAGCCAGTGGATCAGTGTAATCACAGATCCACTGTTCCCTCCTCCAACCCACCTCTATAACTTCTCTCTCTGGTGAAACACAGAGCTATCTCACATTGCTTCATAGACCCTCCTCCATTGGCTCCCTGTTCTCTGCCCCTTCCTCAGTTGCTTCAATGTATTTTTGAACCATCCAGTATAGTAACAAATAATATTAATTAGTAGTAACCTACCTGTACAGCATTTTCAGCAAACATGAAATGTTGTATCACTGAGGCTGATAATAATGTTAATAAAAGTCTACTAAGATCATGAATGTGAGTCCCTAGTTCTCAGTCCCCTATGAAAGCGACTAATGGGAAACACCTCCAAATTTCACAAATTTCCTGCAACATTTTTAGTTTCCCCATCACTGTGACCGACTCCAGAAACCGGCTGTAATAATTCAGCCCACACTCTGAGACTCTTGTTTGTTCTGACAGCCATTATTATTTATGTAGACCACATTTTTGGAACAGTATTGCTTTTGCTTATGAAACCCACATGGCTATAAATTGAGAGTGTTAAAGTGTCTCCAAGACTCGGGCTTAAGATAAATCTAGTAGTACTGAGTAGTATTCCCAGTGTCAGAGGACTTAGATGACAGCAAGGTCATTTTCTAGTGGTGGCGCTTGTTGTTTTTCCAGAATGGTTCTCATCAGCTCTGAAGGCTCGGACAGCAATATTATTCTGGCATTCAAGAGTTGAGCCACGGCAGATCCTGCAAAAGCCTCTTGCTCAAGATGCCACCTCCGGAGTAATGTCAAGAATACCAAATGCTATAGAAAGAACGCGCAGAGCCAGACTCATCACTGGAGAGTCTAAGTCTATGGAATTACATAAAGGATGACTCTGGCCCAATGCCTCTGAGCCAGTGAGAGTAGCTAAGTGACCTTTTAGGTCAGGAATGAGAGGGACATGTTTAATAAGCGTTTGTTCAGTGTCTAGCACAGTGTGGCCCCAATACTGACTGAAATGGACAGCAGTAGGATCCATGCACCAAATCTGGCATTACTCTTGTGGACAGTGTACTTAAACTGCAGGTCTTGCGTTAAATTGGTTTTGATTTCAAGTAGGTATCCCAGCCTCTGTCCCCCATATGCAGTACAGTTTAAAATGTACATACAAAAAGGGACTATTGGAAAAGAAATTAAAAATTTCTGCCTCTTCTTTTCTTCCACAGTATGTCCATTCTCACATCAAAACCTTTACAAGTGACACGTTCCAGGAATTCCTGAAGCACCTCTGGCAGTGTGCTGATGACTTCCGAGATATAATAAGACATGACATCTGGCGGCAGATGTTTACTGACCTCTTCCTGGACTGTGACCACGGAAAGGTAGGTAAAGAAACCCTCAACATATATTTGACAATGTAATGTTTCTGATCCGGTATCTCTCATTTATGTAATTGCTTCTTTTTCATTCCTAGTCATTGGCTCCAAGCTCTCTCTTGGTATTAATTTGCTTATTTCGGAAGAGAGCAGTTGTTGCACAGCGAAATGGGTTGATACTTGTTATCTAGGGCATGTCTGCCCTGCAATGAAAAACCTGCAACGCTGAGTCTCAGAGCCCAGATCAGTTGACTCAGGCTTGCAGGATTTGGGCTCCGAGACTAAAAATTGTGGAGCTGATTCTCAGTCTGAAGCCTGGGCAGTGAGACCCACTCCCTTCACGAGTCAATTGACCTTCACGGGGTCGGAGGCTCAGGGCAGCAGTTTTTTATTGCAGTGTAGACATAGCCATAGACACAAAAACAGTCAACATCCTGTCTCCATAATCTTGCATTTACCCCTCTTACCTGTGTTGAGTATTCCATTCATCACCCCTCTGCTGACGTTCATTGCAAGCCTACCCAGAATTAATTAACTGCTCTATAATATCATTCTAATTATGTCATTGACAAAGCCCTGGCTGGGATGATTTAATTGGGGATTGGTCCTGCTTTGAGCAGGGGGTTGGACTAGATGACCTCCTGAGGTCCCTTCCAACCCTGATATTCTATGATTCTATGATTCATTATCTCTAAAAGAATAGAATTACAGAGCACATTTTTAGCAGCAACAATGTGTTTTAGAGAATTAAAGAGACAAGGTGGGGGAGGTAATATCTTTTATTGGACCAACTTCTGTTGAAAGATATGACCTCCCCCACCATATCTCTCTAATATCCTGGGACTGACATGGCTACAACTACATTGTTTTAGAGAACATGAGGCAAACTGTTATCTCAGCTCAGGGGTGGGAAAAGTGATGTGTCTCCATCTCAACCAGAAGATATTTAAATTCCTAATCCCCATCAGGAAGATCAAAAAGGTAGACAGAGGAGAACACAGACAGTCTATTTCTCTGCATTTTGAAGGAGTCCCCTCTCTTCTCATTCTCTGCTGGGTGAGTGTGACGGAATACTGCACATAAAAGCACAGGGATGTGTGAGAAGGGATGATATCACACATTTTACTTTGTAGTTTAGTAATCACCATCTCTCTGCCTCTGATAACAATGCCATCTCAGAAAAGAATAATTAATGCTAGAATCAAATGAGAAGAGAGAACACCTACCCGCATGAACACCAGTCTTTGGGTGGAGAAAAATAATCACAGTCAAAACATGGCTGCTCTTGATATCAGCTTAGGCAGATTTGATCACCACATTTAGTTTACAAACAGCATTGTTACTGCACTTCTCTTGGATCTGACATGGTTGCTCTCCCAGGGCTATAATCAGCCTGCGCTATACTGTACCCACAGGGGAGATCAGAGAGTAAACTAATCCATGAAGACCCCTGACTTTTTGAGTGTGATCTATCACCTGTGGTAGTCATTTTGTGAAGCACAGCCAGCTAGTTCTTTCCATTTTCTAATTTGCATTTGTTTGGTGGCAGGTAATTATTCCCATTTTGTAGGGGTGAGTGGTGTTCTCTGTCTCAGTTATTTATAATTAGGGCCATAAAGGGATACAAAATGGAGAGAGAAGCATTTAAGCTATAGTCTGATTACAAGGAATCCACACAATCATTATTATGATTTTAAAAATGTACATCTGTGAGGATGTCAGCTCAGCCAGAACCCCCTGGAATAGCTAGACTAGCTACTTAACCAGACCGCAAAACAATGTCAGAATAGAACTAAAACTCTGCTCTAATCCCCATAAAGGAAAAGACACTTTGGATTTAAAGTTCATGGCCTCACTGTGCCTAGGTGTGTTTAGCACAGTTCCATTTGACATTGGAACTGTACCTGCATGAATTTGCTGTGCATTTTCTGCCCAGGATCTTCAAAAGTAACTGATTACACTAACAGATTACTTTTCAAAATACTGCACACCTGAGAAGTTATCTGATTCCTCTCCAGACAGAAAAAGAACAAAGATTTCCTTACCCTTAGTCATCCTGGCAATGCTGTCCTGGGCAGCATCAAGGATATTTTGTTGTCATGGTATACACATCTCCTACACACAGTGCAGAATAATCAGAACGTAACTGCTGATCTTTCACTGATCAGAAGATGCTGGCATGTACAGCTTGGGGATTTGGCAATGAGTTATAGAGCCTTTGCTGGAAGTGACTCAGGGTTGTCACCATGTGGTGGCTGGGTGAAATGAATTAGGGTGTCTCAGTCCAGTTCCCACAAGAAAACACCACTGTGGTTGGCCCTAATTGGCCCCTTTGTTGCCAATCCCAGCAGAGAGGCCGAGGGCCGAATGAGCCAGGAAGTCTGAACTAATTCTTCTCCCTGCTAGGGGTAGTCCCACTATGCCAGGTGAAAGAATATTTTGTGAGGCAGTATGAGGACAGCTGTAGCTCACGAAAGCTTATGCTCAGATAAATTTGTTAGTCTCTAAGGTGCCACAAGTCCTCCTTTTCTTTTTGTGAACCTTCTCTGCAGATCAGTAAAGGACTCAGTGTTCCAGGATACCAGGCTGGAATCTGTCATCACCCCAAATTCATACACCAGACTGATAAGACATATTTTTCACAGAGTATACTATTGCAAGGAAATTGAAGACCCCATTATAATGCTATTATATCTGGGTTGTGAGTAGCATTGACATGATTTTCCTAGTATCCCCATCCTTTCCCCCAACCTTATACAACTGAAAACCCGCAAATGGAATTGTAAGGGATCCTTGTCCCATGATAGCCCTGAGCCTGAGGGTGGTCTGATAAAGCCATACAAATCCAGGAGTTTACATCAAATTTAAAGCAAGATGGAAATCCATCCCCAGTCCATCTCCAGTAATTTCTTTCCACACTTAAATATTTTGTGCCTCTACTGTTTTTCATAGCATCAAAAAGCATTTATTCTCAGTCAGACCAGACTGTTGTCAACATATTTTATTTGTCCCCAAAATGTAGTTTAATTACTTGGCAAAAAGCATCTGTAACCACGAACATCATCTTCATTTTCTCTAAAACAAATTACTTCATTAATTGTAATTACTTTTTGGAGAAAATGTTATGTTCTTATGTAAATGAAAGTTTGCATTAGTGCTGACCACTGTCAGAGAAACTTTCAAGTGATTGTGATGGGCAACAGCTGAAATAACTGAAAGTGAAAAGAAGGGCGTGTAATGGGAATACTCAGCTGAGTAGCCAAACATTCCACCAGTGATGCGGTAATATCTTCAAAAACAGGCGCTGACAGTTTTGTGTTTGGATTGATGTTAAGGAGGTGCAGAATTAGATCTGGGATATTGAATATAAAAGCAAACTACATAAACAGCATGATATATTCTTGGGGAACAAGGTGACGGCACTCTACCATCAAGAGGAGGAAGGGATTTGGAAACAAACTGTTAATATAATAAGTTTAAGAGATAGGATGCAGCTGAAATACAGCTGGAAGTCCCAGCGCTTCTGACCAGCAGAAACTGAGTTACAGGAGGCTGAGAAATAAAAAACCAGGTTCTGTCTGCTCTTTATGGCTATTAAAGAACTTTTGTCACTCTTGCTGATAGATGGAGTTTGCTGAGGTCTCCTTGGCGCAATTTTACCTCTCCCTCCCCACCGTTGCACAGTGTGGTGCCCTCCACCCAGTGCTGCTGTATGCTTAGAGTTTGTGAAGTGCTTTGGATCCATCAGGATGGAAGGTGTTACAGTAATACAGAATATGATTTACTTGGTTCCTACATTATCAGCATTACTTCCTTTTCCTTGGAGCCTTTTTCTTCTGCATCTTCAATTGTCCAGCTCTTTTTGAGTTTCAGACCCTTTTGGGAGCTACAGACTCTAGTCCAGTATGGACAGCTCCCGCTCATTTCTGAGTCCTCTCATTCCCTCCCACCACTTTTGCTTTTAGATTACGAACACTGAGGCCACTCATCACCCATCTTGGGCTTGCTTCCAGAATACAATAGCAACCGTTGTTTATTTCTTCAGTTTAAAGGCATGGAAAGGTTGACACAGAATTAACATCTTGGTGAATTTTACACTTGGCAATTTTTACTCTGGGAGCAAAACCTTGGAAGGAAATCTATAATTCAAATGTGAAACTGGTTGTCACAAATAACAGATTTAAGTAATTTATGATCTGATCAAATACTATATTACACTAATGGGAAGGAGATTATGAAGGTGAGAACCCTTAAATAATGACAACATTAACTCATTATTAAAATGGAAGAGCTCCAACCCTTTGGGGTTGCTTTACTTTTTTAAAATCACAATTTCCTCATCTTTTTCCTGCCTTTGCTATCCCCTTCCCCTGTCTCTGAGCAGTAAGGATGTTAATGCTACCCTGCATGTCACAGAGCACTGAGGCCTGCTTCTCCCTGGCTCTCAGAGGTCAATCATTACTTCCAGGATGTGTCTCTGCAAGGCCAGAGTGAGAGACCCAAGCCTGTTCAAGACAAGCAGCAGTTCTTAAGAGTAGGAGCAGCCTTTCTTACAAGCTTAAAAAATATGCACATGTACACAGAACCACTGTGGGGTGATATGAATGCTAGTCACTCTGCCAGAAACCCACCAGGAAACTGCTCTTCTGCTTGCTAGAGCATCAGAACTGCTTATATCTATTATCATTATCAAGAACATGTATGCCTTCGAAAAGGAATGTAGGGGCTTGCCACACCAGCTCATACCCTTGGTGTAGCTCTTTTCTCTGGTAGTGCCAATACCTGATGGTTTAAAGGAGGTGATGGAGGAGGCAAAACCAAACCACGCATAATGCATGTAGCCACTACAGTTGCACAATGCTGTATCTAGAGGAGAAAATTCCTCTGTGACCTCCCTCCAGGCAATCATGACCTTGAAGCATGAGATGGAATTACTTTCATCTTCACATATAGAACACATGCTATTATTGGTCATACAATTAGCCAGCTCTGTTTTATGGGGAATATGAATATCTGATAGCATGTGCATATAAGAAAACATACCACCTGTAAGTCCCACTTAAGCCCTGTGGATGAAATCCTGGCTCTAGCACAATAAAATTGACTTGGTCCACTGCCAAGGACTACATTTCACATAGAGATAGCACTCAGGTTTTACAGATCACACAAGATGCTTCGCTGGTAAGTTTTGATGTGAAAAACCAGAACTAAAGAAACTATCTTGAACCATTGACTGTAGCTGTTATGTCTAGGCTGGCCTCTTGGACAGGCAGAGGACACTGGCCTTACTTGAAGACTTCTATGACAGCAGCCCAGTGATTGCTAAGAGGGGATTCTGTAATCCAAGACAATGTAAGTACAATAGGTAGTTGGAACATATTTAAAAATTCATATTTAAAACTTCATATGAAGTTTTCCAGTTATGATACATTTTTATAAGTATTGTCAGCAACAGATGAAACCTAAAAATCTCGTAGACCAACACTGCAACATTTATATCACAATTAGAGCTGGCCTAAAACTTTCAACATTTAGACAAACTTTTTTTGCAAAATATATAAACGCAGTGGTCAGAAACACTTCAGTGTACAAACTGGTAAAGTTATGTATTGAAACATTGCTGTAGAATAGAGTACTTTTTATTATTTATTATTATTATTTATTATTATTTATTATTATTATAAGCAGTTATTGCAAATAAGATTATTTTCCCCAAAGTAATTGTCCCCGAAGTAATTTAATCTGGGAAGTATTAGATAAATGTTAGCACTACTTCTAAACTGAAATTTCTCTGTAAGAATAGAAGGCTAAAAGGAACAGAGAGAATATAGAGGATATTCTACATAAAATTACAATGATTTTTAGATATTAGGCATAAACTACTTGAGAGTATCTTGCTTAGATCAGAAACAGTGGAAATTTTAACATATAAATCATTGCTTCCCTTTTAATATGGAAAAACAGAAACATGGCAGTATGGCATGTGGCACAGTGCATATCTTGATAACAAAAAGAATTCTTCTAGAAGTAAAAAAACTGCCCAATTTGCAAAAGCTCCATCTCCAAAGCTAAGGTTTGGGTTTCTGAGTCTGTATGCACTGGTAGTACTTTCAGGAAATTCTGTGTTCACTAGGAAGTACTTTTCTCCATTTTCTCACTCTTTTGCATTCTACTTCACCTCCAGTTAGCAATCATAAAAACAATGCAAACTATCAACTAAACAACTGCTTTTCTATATTAGGGCCAATAATTGAATTGCAAGAAATAGAGCTTACTGAGTTCTGGGGAGACTTTGATGATGGACAGATAGCTTCTGAGGAATCCAGCCAAATATTTGCATGGTCTCAAACAGAAGTTTCTGAGGGAAGGACTCTATCCTCTAAAATGCTAGCTGCTAATGGTCAAGCTGCATATGAAACTTGCATTTTGATAGATGAACCAGGAGAGCCAGAGGCAGAGCAAGACCAAGAGGTTGCTCTTGAACAAAAGGCCATGAGTGAATCTGGAACAGACGAGATCAGTAAGGAGGAACCTGGTTTAATTGGCGAGCTTATTGAGATTGTTCCAGTAATTGCCCTCGGAGAAGAGTATACAGTCTCACCTACAGAACCTGGTTCTGAAGTTCAGGTGAATCAAGAGGGAGAAGGTTTCACTGCTGAGTTGTATGAAACTGTTTCAGCATCAACCCCTGGAGAAGAGAATCCAGTCTCAGAGGAGAAACCTGGTCCTGAAGGACAGGTCAGCCAGAAAGGACTCTATGTAACTACAGAGATGGAAGAAACTGACCCATCACCACACCCTGAAGCACCAAACACCCTCCTGGAAACGGAAGCAAGTGATGCTAACGTGAGCCAAGAAGCCTCCAAATCTGACAGTAGAAAGGGATCTACAGCCCTTAATAAGGAAACTACTTCCAGTGAGGACATGGACATAGAGAATCAGACTGATACTGCAGATGCAGAGAGCCAGAATGAACCCATTCCAGTAGCAGCTCCCGAGCAAGAGAACGTAAACATATATAAAGAACATGGTTCTGAAGAACGTGTCAGCCAGAAAGATCACAATGTGGCTACAGAGCCGAGTGAACTCATTCTAGCCCCAAACTCTGAAGAAGGGAATATAACCTTGGAGAAGGAACTTGGTTCAGAAGCACAAGTCTGTCAAGAAGAACATGATTTGATTGCAGAGCTGAATGGGG